GAAAAATCCCAAAAGGGCAACGAAATTTGGGACCTTTGGCCCAACTAGCTGAACCACCCAAAGTGTGGAGAGACTGACGTTTGTGAAAATGAATCAGGTGTGGATTAGTCTGGATTTCAAACCACCAGTTCCTGACACAACTGACTAAATCCGCCATGAATCATGCCCCAAACATGTGCCACTTTCAGGTCTCCTCACACTGCTGGTGTGTTACATTTTTTGTCATAGGGTGCTGGCAGATTACGGGCCTCCCATAGCTGCTGCCAGGCCCCTAATCTGCCATGGGCCCCTATACCGCCTCCTCATGCTGCTGCCAAGTCCAGAGTCTCTCATGGGTCCCTGTACGGCCTCCCATTGCTGCTGTCTCCATCGCCACACTCTGCCATGTGCCACTTTCAGGTCTCCTCACACTGCTGGTGTATTCCATTTTTTGTCATAGGGTGCTGGCAGATTACGGGCCTCCCATAGCTGCTGCCAGGCCCCTAATCTGCCATGGGCCCCTATACCGCCCCCTCATGCTTCTGCCAGATCCAGAGTCTCTCATGGGTCCCTGTACGGCCTCCCATTGCTGCTGTCTCCATCGCCACACTCTGCCATGTGCCACTTTCAGGTCTCCTCACACTGCTGGTGGGTTCCATTTTTTGTCATAGGGTGCTATCAGATTACGGGCCTCCCATAGCTGCTGCCAGGCCCCTAATCTGCCATGGGCCCCCGTACCGACTCCTCATGCTGCTGCCAGGCCCGTAATCTGTCATGGGCCCCTGTTGTCGCTTGTTGGCATATTCCGCTCGTTCAGATGCTCCTTCTCCTGCTACTCCTCTTCACGGATTCCGTCAGCAGTCTTTCTTGGAATCCGTTTCCAAGAGACAACAGTTTGCGAGCACGCACCAGACGGTGCAGAAGCTGAACGTCCTCCTGTCCAAGTTGCTGCTGCCAGGCTCGTAATCTGTCATGCGCCCCTGTACCGCCTCCTCATGCTGCTGCCAGGTCCAGAGTGTGTCATGGGCCCCCGTACCGACTCCTCATGCTGCTGCCAGGCCCGTAATCTGTCATGGGCCCCTGTACCGCCTCCCCATGCTGCTGCCAGGTCCAGAGTGTGTCATGGGTCCCTGTACGGCCTCCCATTGCTGCTGCCAGGCCCGTAATCTGCCATGGGCCCCCGTACCGACTCCTCATGCTGCTGCCAGGCCCGTAATCTGCCATGGGCCCCTGTACCGCCTCCTCATGCTGCTGCCAGGTCCAGAGTGTGTCATGGGTCCCTGTACGGCCTCCCATTGCTGCTGTCTCTATCGCCACACTCTGCCATGTGCCACTTTCAGGTCTCATCACACTGCTGGTGGTTTCCATTTTTGTCATAGGGTGCTGTATGGCCTCCCATTGCTGCTGCCTCCACCGCCACACTGTGGCTCCACACTCTGGTTTTGGCCCCGTGACTGCCCAAATGAGTGAAGTGTGCGGTGATTCTAAGATCGACGGCACTCATCTGCATGTCATACTGACTGACAGTATTATTTCTCTTCCCCAGCAGACTCCAAGGGCATTTAAATTAAAGGTACAGTGTTCAGCACTAATATTAAGTCTCTCTGAAGCCTAGAAACACCCTTTTTTAAGTTAAATTCACAGCGAATATATTCGACTCGAATCGAAATTTTTCCACGAATTCGCCGAATCAGTCGAATCGAATTTTTGAATACTTCGCTCATCTCTAGTGATGACGTATTTATGGTATGACAGCTGCTCTAGCCCCTCCTCCAACAACCGTCTTGGTGTTTATTTGTGCACCATAGCAATTTTCCATTCGGCTCCATTGTGTATATGACATTCGCAAATATATGTTTGCAGTTCTATTGTGGATTTGGCATTGGTGAATGTATGTTTGCAGCTCTACTGTGTATATGACATTGGTGAATGTATGTTTGCGGCTCTACTGTGTATATGACATTCGTAAATATATGTTTGCAGCTCTATTGTGTATTTGACATTGGCAGCTCTGTGTATATGACATTGGCAAATATATGTTTGCAGCTCTACTGTGTATATAACATTGACAAATATATATTTGCCGGTAAAGGCCTAAAGTCAACATAAAGTGGGGGCCTAATTTATTACTGTTAAGAGGATTGTAGAAAAAGAATAGCTAGCTGCACATTGAACATGACCTATCAGGGGCAGACTGACAACTCATGGGGCCCCCGCGCAATAGGGGATCATGGGGCCCCTGTGTCCTTGCCCAAACTCAAAAAAGCCTATGAAAAAGGTACCAGGGGCATCTCATGGGGCCCCCTACTGACCCCGGGCCCTCGGGCAATGCCCGAGTTTCCAAATGGTCAGTCTGCCCCTGCGATCTATTCATTGGTACATAACATGGTCTTGTGGTGCAATAGGGGGCTTTTGGTTTGTTAGTTTGGACATACTTGCATATGTGCACTCTAACAAGGAAGATTTGGGCATATTATATAGCTAGCAAAAATACGTGTTAGGGGTGCTAGTACATTCAACTAGAACATGAAATAATCCCCAAAAAAATACATAGTCCAAATGTTTATTGATCAAATACACATTCCACATTTATTTGGACAGCAACAACAAGTAGGTACATTCAATTTCTTGGTGAAAAAAAAAAAAAGGATTGATGTTGCTAAAATAGAACGGTCCTGCTCATAAGGGTTTACAATCTAAAAGATTATACTTCTAATGAACTGTGCTTTCACAGGTTACAGCAGGAAACAAACAGTTAAAATGAATCATGTAGTAGGCTTATCTATCCACAAAACAGGCTGCAGATCAAAATATCAATATCAAAATACATAAGTGCCAAAATAAAACACCTCCCACCTCCCCAAATACCTCACACATACATTTCTCATCAAGTTTGTCTGAAAACTGAATTTCAGTGTGAATAAAGCAAACTATAGCCAAGGGCAGATTTGGAAGAGCAGAGCAATTAACATGTGTTAGAATTACAATGCAGAGATAATAAACACACAAACACACCTTAGAAGGAAAAAATGCAAAAACATTTACAGCCCACATCAAAACACAGGGTGAGTGTGGCCTGGGGAAATTCACCACAATATCTCTTCCTCCCCAAATAAACACAGACAAGGATTTGCAGAAAATAAAGTGGCCTGTACAAGGAAAAAAATCATCCAATACTGCAACTCTTTATATAACATAGGTCACACCCACCACTGTCATTAATTTGGTCAGAAAAAGTGTTTGCACCTGATTAATTTCTCTTCCCACCTGTGTTAACCCTTGGTATACAGAACCCAAAAATCGGAGACAGAAAGAAAGCCACAGTGAAGTGTACCTGTGCAGCATACAACAGAACATTGGACAGGGATGTGAAAGAGAACCCCATGGCAATATTTATTGGCACTATGGGCACAATTCACTCCAGAGTATCACATGAGTTAAGGCAGTCACATGACCATATCTCGCATGCAATACTGAAAATGTCAATTCACCTTTGCTAGTATGCGGGATTTCCCATAAATCGGAAAAACGCTCAGGAAATCAAACATAAAAAGGCATTACACCCCAGTCACATCAAAGCCAATTTAGAAATTGTGTGACGTACAGTGAAGATGCGATTTCCTTGCGATTTGCAAGACATCTGACACAGATATCTATGCAAATTGACACAAAAGTAGTACATGTACTACTTTAGAAATCAGTGTCGGAAACGTACCCATGTGACCGCTCTAATAGCAGACAATAGGGTGCGACTTGGCATACAATTTGCAACTCGCATGTCATGCAAATCACATGCCAAGTCGCACTCAATGTGACCGCTATTAGAGCGTTCATATTGGTGTGGTTCAAACTTGGTTGGAGCCACAACAATTTCTAAAGTAATGAATACACTACTTTTCATGCGATTTGCAGAGAGATCTGTGTCAGATGTCTTGCAAATCACACTTTAAATCAGCATGTCCCCAAACTTTGAAATCATGTGACTTCACTGTAAATAACATGATGTGACCATAGTGTAAGTCGCACCACTTCAAAATCCGCTGTGATGAGTGACCGGGGTGGCCCCCAGTCACATCGGGTGCAATTTGGCATGCGATTTGCATGCTAGGCGACTTGCAAATCGTAGGGCAAGTCGCACCCTATTGTCCACTATAGACTCCATTCACATCCAATCTTATTTTGAAATCGTGCAACTTCACTGTAAGTTGCCCAATTTCCAAATCGGATTAGATGTGACTGTGGTGTTAGCCACCGGTCACCTCGGGTGCAATTTGGCATGTGATTTGCAAATCGCACATCTCCAATGTGACACAAATGTTGTGCTATGTTGCCAATTCAGATGTATGTTGGTTCTATGTATCCCAATACAAAGGATTGCAATACTAATACAGGCGTACCTCGGTTTACCAATGCCTCGGTTAATGTCATTTTCGGTTTACGAATGAAAATCCATAGAAAATAATGCCTCGGTTTACACAATTGTTAATAATTTTTTTCGCAATACAAAGTGTATGTCGGTGCTGATTTTTAAATGCAAATGCCAGCCTTTTTTTTTCTTCATTATAGTTCACAAGCTTATGTATCACTTTCCCTGAAGTTACAGAAAACTTTGTATCTTTTAATAAACTAAAAGTAAACATTGTTTCCTTTAGGGCAGGCATGTCCAAAGTCCGGCCCGCGGGCCAATTGCGGCCCGCGTTCTGGACTGAAACGGCCCACAGGTGAGCTACCCAAATACATAACTTACGGCCCCCGGTAGTGATTCCCTGAAAGCTACTGAGGACTCCAGCGATCTCTTGACATCATCAGCTGGTGCAGGAAGGAGAGCCCAAATCTCGCGACGTCCGAGATCTCGTGAGATTTCTGCTTTCCTTCTCTGTGTGCCGGCTGATGACGTCAATTCCCGCTCGACAGATCCCTGAGTCCTCAGTGGCGTTCGCAGAATCGCTAGTGGAGGGCCGTAAGTTATATATTGGGCAGCTCATCTGTGGGGTCCGGAACGTGGGCCGAGTGATCCCAGGTGGTGCGCAGGGAATTACTACTGGTGCTACCATTTACCATTATTTACTATGTCTGCAGTCTCTGGTCATCTCCTGTACTGTGTCCGCAGTTCTGGTCATCTCCTGTACTATGTCCGCAGTCTCTGGTCATCTCCTGTACTGTGTCCGCAGTCTCTGATCATCTCCTGTACTGTGTCCGCAGTCTCTGGTCATCTCCTGTACTGTGTCCGCAGTCTCTGGTCATCTCCTGTACTGTGTCCGCAGACTCTGGTCATCCCCTGTACTGTGTCACTCTGGTCCTCCTTGTACTATGTCCGCAGTCTCTGGTCATCTCCTGTACTGTGTCCGCAGTCTCTGGTCATCTCCTGTACTGTGTCCGCAGTCTCTGGTCATCTCCTGTACTGTGTCCGCAGACTCTGGTCATCTCCTGTACTGTGTCCGCAGTCTCTGGTCATCTCCTGTACTGTCATCTGGTCATCCCCTGTACTGTGTCCGCAGTCTCTGGTCATCTCCTGTACTGTGGCAGTCTCTGGTCATCTCCTGTACTGTGTCCGCAGACTCTGGTCATCCCCTGTACTGTGTCCGCAGTCTCTGGTCATCTCCTGTACTGTGTCCGCAGTCTCTGGTCATCTCCTGTACTGTGTCCGCAGTCTCTGGTCATCTCCTGTACTGTGTCCGCAGTCTCTGGTCATCTCCTGTACTGTGTCCGCAGTCTCTGGTCATCTCCTGTACTGTGTCCGCAGTCTCTGGTCATCTCCTGTACTGTGTCCGCATATTCTGTGGTCATCTCCTGTAGTGTCCGCAGTCTCTGGTCATCTCCTGTACTGTGTCCGTCTCTGGTCTCTGTACTGTGTCCGCAGACTCTGGTCATCTCCTGTACTGTGTCCGCAGTCTCTGGTCATCTCCTGTACTGTGTCCGCAGACTCTGGTCATCCCCTGTACTGTGTCCGCAGTCTCTGCTGGTCATCTCCTGTACTGTGTCCGCAGACTCTGGTTCCATCCCTGTACTGTGTCCGCAGACTCTGGTCATCCCTGTACTGTGTCCGCAGTCTCTGGTCATCTCCTGTACTGTGTCCGCAGTCTCTGGTCATCTCCTGTACTGTGTCCGCAGTCTCTGGTCATCTCCTGTACTGTGTCCGCAGACTCTGTCATCCCCTGTACTGTGTCCGCAGATCTGGTCATCCCTTGTACTGTGTCCGCAGTCTCTGGTCATCCCTGTACTGTGTCCGCAGTCTCTGGTCATCTCCTGTAAGCTGTGTCCGCAGTCTCTGGTCATCTCCTGTACTGTGTCCGCAGTCTCTGGTCATCTCCTGTACTGTGTCCGCAGACTCTGGTCATCTCTGTGTCCGCAGTCTCTGGTCATCTCCTGTACTGTGTCCGCAGACTCTCATCCCTGTACTGTGTCCGCAGTCTCTGGTATCTCCTGTACTGTGTCCGCAGACTCTGGTCATCCCCTGTACTGTGTCCGCAGTCTCTGGTCATCTCCTGTACTGTGTCCGCAGTCTCTGGTCATCTCCTGTACTGTGTCCGCAGACTCTGGTCATCCCCTGTACTGTGTCCGCAGTCTCTGGTCATCTCCTGTACTGTGTCCGCGCAGTCTCTGGTCATCTCCTGTACTGTGTCCGCAGTCTCTGGTCATCTCCTGTACTGTGTCCGCAGTCTCTGGTCATCTCCTGTACTGTGTCCGCAGTCTCTGGTCATCTCCTGTACTGTGTCCGCAGTCTCTGGTCATCTCCTGTACTGTGTCCGCAGTCTCTGGTCATCTCCTGTACTGTGTCCGCAGTCTCTGGTCATCTCCTGTACTGTGTCCGCAGTCTCTGGTCATCTCCTGTACTGTGTCCGCAGTCTCTGGCCATCTCCTGTACTGTGTCCGCAGTCTCTGGCCATCTCCTGTACTGTGTCCGCAGTCTCTGGCCATCTCCTGTACTATGTCCGCAGTCTCTGTCATCTCCTGTACTATGTCCGCAGTCTCTGGTCATCTCCTGTACTGTGTCCTCAGTCTCTGGTCATCTCATGTACTGTGTCCGCAGTCTCTGGTCATCTCCTGTACTATGTCTGCAGTCCATTGGTTCAGAATTTTTTTTTTCCTGTTTTTCGCCTCTAAAACCTAGGTGCGTCTTATGGTCAGGTGCGTCTTATGGAGCGAAAAATACGGTATCAATTTGGGCTATAATGGATTGGTGCTCAGGATCGCTTGATGTCATCAGACAGTGCAAGGAGAAACAAAAGCCCAAATCTCGCGACCTCCGAGATCTCGCGAGATTTGGGCTTTCCTGCTCCCTGTGCTGGCAGAGTGATTTAACACCTGTTTAGATTTGTCATCCAAGTCACAAAATGAAAAGTATGCCGTTTTCAATAAACTTTTGCATAAAATAGTTCATTTGCATTTAATGTTAATGGTTCATCAGAATGTCGGGCAAAATGGTCGGCCCTCGCACATGTTCACTTCATCAAATCTGGCACTTTCCAAAAAAGTTTTTGGACACCCCTGCTTTAGGGATATAAATTCCAAGAAAACTTTCTCTTTTAGCTGGGGGAAGTGATAGCTGAATTTCTGAGCTATAGTGAAGAAAAAAAAAAAAGGAGAATTACATTTAAAAACCAGCACCATAATAAATAAAAAAAACGGCGTGGGGGTCCCAACTCCCATCCATATCAAGCCCTTCGGGTCTGGTATGTATCTTAAGGGGTAACTCCAAGCCAAAATGTAAAAAAAAAAACAGCGTGGGCCCCCCCCCAAAATCCATACCAGACCCATTTTCGAGCATGCAGCCCGGCAGGTCAGGAAAGGGGGGGGATGAGCGAGCACCCCCCCTCTGATCCATACCAGGCAACATGCCCTCAACAAGGGGGGGTGCTTTGGGGCAGGGGGGCTCCCCCCAAAGCACCTTGTCCCCATGTTGATGGGGACAAGGGCCTCTTCCCCACAACCCTGGCCAGTGGTTGTGGGGGTCTGCGGGTGGGGGGGCTCATCAGAATCTGGAAACCTTCTTTAACAAGGAGGCCCCCAGATCCCGCCCCCCCCCCTACGTGAATGAGTATGGGGTACATGGTACCGCTACTAATTCACAAAAAAAGTGTAGTGTAAAAAAACACAGGACACGGTCTTTGACAAGTCCTTTAATAAAAGAAAAATCTCAAAGAATGTCCCCAGAAGTAGATCCAACGTCAATCATGAAGCCCGACGCCGGGGACCGCAAAAAATAAAAAAAAGGTTCCGCGTCCGCCGGAGGCTGCCAGCCTTCTGCTGCGAGTCTGGGTGACAGCTCTTAAATATGTAAGGGGCGGGGCTACCTGGGGACATCACGCATGTGATCCCACCCCAGGTGACATCAATGATGTCACCTGGGGCGGGGTCACTCGGATGATGTCCCCGAGTGGCCCCGCCCCTTACATATTTAAGAGCTGTCATCCAGACTCGCAGCAGAAGGCTGGCAGCGTCCGTCGGACACGGAACCTTTTTTTTTTTTTTTTTTTCAGTCGCTGGCGGCGGGCTTCATGATTGACCTTGGATCTACTTCTGGGGACATTCTTTGAGATTTTTCTTTTATTAAAGGACTTGTCAAAGACCGTGACCTGTGTTTTTTTACACTACACTTTGGTTTTTTTGTGAATTAGTAGCGGTACCATGTACCCCATACTCATTCACATGGGGGGGGCGAGATCTAGGGTCCCCCTTGTTAAAAGGGGCTTCCAGATTCTGATGAGCTCCCCGCCCGCAGACCCCCACAACCACTGGCCAGGGTTGTGGGGAAGAGGCCCTTGTCCCCATCAACATGGGGACAAGGTGCTGTGGGGGGGAGCCCCCCCTGCCCCAAAGCACCCCCCATGTTGAGGGCATGTGGCCTGGTATGGTTCAGGAGGGGGGCGCTCGCTCGTCCCCCCCTTTTCCTGACCTGCCGAGCTGCATGCTCGGATAAGGGTCTGGTATGCATTTTGGGGGGAACCCCACTCCGTTTTTTTTAATTTTGGCTTGGAGTTACCCCTTAATATCCATACCAGACCCAAAGGGCTTGGTGTGGATGGGAGGGGGGAACCCCACGCCATTTTTTTAATTATTTATTTAATTTACGGAAATTCTTTAACATCCAGCTGTCAGTGGGGGAGCCCGCTGACAGCTGAAACATTAACACATGGTTGTCGCTACTAAAATCCCACATGAATTATTAACATAATGTGGCGTTTTAGTAGTGAAAACCAATGCAGCGTTCATGTTTCACATTTCTTTTTTTTTTTTTTTTGGCGTGGAGTTACCCCTCAATATCCATACCAGACCCGAAGGGCTTGGTATGGATGGGAGGGGGGATCCCACGCCGTTTTTTTAAAAAAAAAATTTAATTGCGAACCTTTATTTTTTAGATTCAGCTGTCAAAATATATATTATCTAGACCAGGGGTGGGCAAACTTTTTGACTTGAGGGCCACAATGGGTTCATATATTGGACCCGGGGCCGGACCAAGAGTAGATGAATGATGTGTATGTGTCATCCATAGTAAGTATAGTAATATTCCCCCATAGTAAGCATAGTAATTAATCCCCCATATAGTAATTCATCCTCCATAGTAATTCATCCCCCATATAGTAATTCATCCCCATATAGTAATTCATCCCCCATAGTAAATCATCCCCCATATAGTAATTCATCCCCCATAGTAATTCATCCCCCATATAGTAATTCATCCCCCATAGTAATTCATCCCCCATATAGTAATTCATCCCCCATAGTAATTCATCCCCCATAGTAATTCATCCCCCATATAGTAATTCATCCCCCATAGTAATTCATCCCCCATATAGTAATTCATCCCCCATATAGTAATTCATCCCCCATAGTAATTCATCCCCCATATAGTAATTCATCCCCCATAGTAATTCATCCCCCATATAGTAATTCATCCCCCATAGTAATTCATCCCCCATATAGTAATTCATCCCCCATATAGTAATTCATCCCCCATAGTAATTCATCCCCCATATAGTAATTCATCCCCCATAGTAATTCATCCCCCATATAGTAATTCATCCCCCATAGTAATTCATCCCCCATATAGTAATTCATCCCCCATAGTAATTCATCCCCCATATAGTAATTCATCCCCCATATAGTAATTCATCCCCCATAGTAATTCATCCCCCATATAGTAATTCATCCCCCATAGTAATTCATCCCCCATATAGTAATTCATCCCCCATAGTAATTCATCTCCCATATAGTAATTCATCCCCCATAGTAA